ACATGGCACCAGAACTGTTGACCCGTGAGAAGTATAAGAAGCCGGCAGATATCTACTCGCTTGGTGTAACGATGTTTGAGTGCTTTATGTGGAAGGAGGCGTATAAAGGAAAGATCTTTAAGTTTCCTTGGGGAATAGCAGAGTTCGTGGTGAGCGGAAAACGATTGAAAAATGAAGGAAATATTCCAGCAAACCTTTTTGAGATCATCGAAGAGGCTTGGTTGCAAGACCAGAAATTGCGGTGTAAAATTCAAAATGTAGTCGAGTGGCTACAAGAAGTTTTTGAAGAAGAAAAAATGAGTCCAGATAATATCAATGAAAAGTTGTCTGATGAAACCCAATTGTAAGTGTGTTATTACTATATAGTTCGATCATATTTGCCTTAGTAATTATATAATATAAAAGTATTATAATTATAATTTCGAAATAAATAAAATATGGTACAATTATAAATTGTTTTGTATATCTGTACTTAAAATATGTGTGTTGATATCTATTTTTATTACTAATTAATAATTAATAAATATAATTAAATAAATGATTAAATAGTAATTTAGTTATTAATTAATCACAATTATAATTTATTCATTATTTTAATTATTAATAATTTAAATGTTAATTGTTTTAAAATTGATTTGGTTTACAAATATAACTTGAAATAATATAAAAAAATGGGTTGGTTGAAAACAAACAAGATTTGAACACCAATAAACAATTTAAAGAAGGTAGTTTCTTTTTTTAAACACTAACAACATGGTTGATTGAAAAGTAAAAAACAATATTTTAAAAAAAAAAATCTTTAAAAATTTTATTCAAAAAATGAAAAAGTCAAATTTTTAGAAAAAAAGTGATATTTACTTGCATATAACATAAATTTGTTGTGTAATATGTTGAAAACTGACAAAAAGAACAATTTATTTATTATATTTTTTATTCATATAAATTTTTAAAAATCCACTACCAAGGTATTACACAAACGAACATTTTTGAATACAATATTGTTGTTAAAATGTTTTATTGCTCGAAGTAAACAAACATTTGTAAATTTTACAAATTGCTGTGTTTGCTAAAACGAACAATTTGTTTTTATAAAAAACGTGATATGTTCTATATTTGAAGACAATTCTAAATCTCCATTATTCAAAGAAATGTTGTTACTAATACTTTTGGTCAACACTTTGGCCGAACCACTGCTCAAGGTGGATGGTATGGAGCCGATTGCAAAAATTCCTCATTGTAAAAGTTTCACAAGAACAATTACGGGTGGTGTTCCCACTGACACTCTGACATGCACTGCTTGTGAAAATGAAATGTATAAACTTAGCGGTGGACAGTGTGTTTATGATTCGTCCAAATGCCCTGTTTCGAATGATTATGTTTACTTAAAAGATAATATATGTCAGTTCTGTGATTATTCTTGCAATTCTTGCAGCGAAGACGGGGTTTGTACTTGTAAGTTTGGCCTTGATAATTCAACAAAATGCCGTGAATGTGTTAATACATTTACCAGTGGTTCAACTACAAAATGTTCTTTGTGTACAAATGGAATGAGCACTGACACATCGTTAGATGCTTGTTCACAGATTACAGATGGTCCAGAAGTCCATGACGGTTCTAATTGTGCTTTGGCTGGTCTCAAAGATGGACAACAAATATGTCTTCGATGTTATGGGAATTATTCGTTTGGAACAGAGTCTGGGAAAACAGAACACTGCGCAACAGCAAACCCACTTGTTGAAGGATGTCTTCGGCAAAACCAAGACAAGTGTTCAAAGTGTGATATTGGTTATTTACTCGTTGATGGTGAATGTCAAAAGACTGATGTTAATTGTGATTCATATACATACACTAATGAAGTCTTGACTTGTAAAACTTGCAGAGAAGGCTATAATCTCGAAAAATCAAAATGCACAATTTGTTCAGTTTCTGGAGATGAACATGTTGAGTATGATTCGTTGTGTGAACTGTTTCCCGTTGATACTTGTAGTCAATGCAGCAGAAGGTGTAAAGTCGAAGGTGCAAAATGTGTACCAACTCATTGCTCTGAGTTTGATTCGGAAAATCGTTGTGTTATTTGTGATGAAGGGTATTATCAATTGGGATATTCATGCCATCAAATAACAAATGACGGATTCTCCGATTCTAATACCAAAAAGTGTGTTCCGGGCTATTACACTGATTATGATACAACTAAAAAAGAATACACGTGCAAGAAATGTCCACCACATTTCGTTGATTGTTTAACTGATAAAACACCACTTCCAGGAAGTTCAATTTTCAAAAACACAAAGCAAACCAAAAGTGAACCATGTGATGATGAAAATTGTGAACAATGCAGTGACGATGGAAAAACTTGTTACAAATGTCTGGCTATGAGCGGAAATTCGGAGGTTGAGAAAATTTCTGGTGAATGTGTCATCAAAGCCACTTTAATGGCTTTGGAAGTACCAACAAGTGGAGCTCCATCTGAGATTAAAAATTATCCTGGAAGATACCCATTCTGCAGATATAAAGGATTTAATTCTTATTTTGAAGATGTCCATCCAGCCTATAAATTCACCCAAGATGAAGAAGATGTTTCAAAAATTAGATGCGATTTGATCCATAGAAGAAGTCATATGTATGTCGAAAAGGTTGTTGATACGACATCTGGTGAGAATTCATATGAATGTACAACGGCAGGAAGAGATCCATTAAGATTCTGTCAGTGTATGAGTGGATATTACCAAGAAAACTCATCAACTGCATTCCCTTGTAAAAAAGCAAATGTCAATTTGAATTGTCTCGAAACTGCAAATGGACAACAATGCACTGTATGTCCCAAAGGAGCTAAATTGACTTCCACAGGAGCGTGCAAGTGCACAGACGGAACGTACCTCAAAGGCACGGAGTGTGTGAGTTGCCCAGAAAAGTGTTTGAAGTGTAATCCATCAACAACTGACGGAGAAATACAACCCGTTTGCACTGAGTGTAAACCAGCAGAGTTGAGTGGAATTGGAAGAGACCCATCAAACAAATGTGAGTGTAAGAAAGATATGGTTGAAGACGAAACGGTGATTTCTGTTTGTCTTGCAAAACCAAACGGATGTAAAAATTCTAAAGACAGTTACGTAGTATCTGGAACTAATATTAGATGCGTAAAATGTGATGATGAGCACAAGTTACTTGATGCTTGTGAAGTTTGTGTAGAAGGATATTACAATACTACTGAAAATGGAGAATGTCTAAAATGTGCATATGGAGAAAATTGTTTGAGTTGTAATTCAACAATGTGCACAGCTTGTACTGATTCAAACGCTGAACTTAAAAAGTCTGAAAGTTCCAATAATTATTGTGAAACGTGTAAACCTGATTATGCCTACAATTCAAAAACCAAAAGTTGCATGAGATGTCCTTCTGTTTGTAACCAATGCACTTATGATGCAGACACCACTGAATTCAGTTGCACTGCTTGTAAAAACGACAAGCAAACACCCAAATGTGAATGCACAAGCGGAGTATACCCAGACCCGACAACTGGATTGTGTATTAATTGTGATAATGCTGCTCATGGTCTCACTTTCTGTACCGAAGATTGTTTATATGGAGAAGACATCTACGTCCATTGTAAAGCTTGTAAAGAATCAGCAAGAAACCCATTAAGAAATTGCACCGAGTGCAGTGCACCCAACCAATTTATCATGATAGTTCGATGTG